GCAAATCCTCGATATCCTGATGAGTTTGGCTGTCATTTTGAGCGCCTAATAGTAGTGCCGATTCGAGTATATATTGCTTATAAGCGTTCACTATATCGGGATAACCACTGGTATTCACCAATTGGTTACGACCCAAACCAAACAGCGATGAATCAAACTTTAAATAATTTAATACAAAAATTATTGATAAAATATTACAAAATAAAATCTTAATAAAAAGTTTTTAAGTTTTTTTTATTAAAAACTCACATAAAATCTGTTAACCAAAGTGTCGTTAGCGTCCGGTTGTATGGAAACTGAATAAATAGGACTCAAACCAAAATTGACGATCACTTTAGCAAATGAGTCCTTCCAGTCATAATCACTGCCGATATCGAGACCTGTCTGTCCCCTTAGAGGCCAACCGCCAATTGAATTAAGGGCTGTTATGAGTGGTGAGACTCCGCGAGCATTAATAGTTGCTACAATGAAACGATTATATTTGTAAACTTAGATTTCAAAAAGTATATCAACACTAAATGCAAACCTTCATCAATACAAGCTTTATAGAAATCTGAGGCATAGATAACAGCATTTGAATCACTTTCTGAAGTATTTTGACTCAAATATTCCTTAATATCTTTCTTGAGCTGATCGTCGACGACATCAAAACTCATATAACGTGACTTATCGGCGGGAATGGTATGTGTGGCCTCCCAGCCCCCGCACGCAAAGGCATAGAAATCATCGCACGGGTCCACAGATTCATTAATAGACTGTTTGATTATACTGCCGGCCCTCTCACAGGCACTGGTGTTGCAAATATCGAGTCCATATCCATTGGTATAAGATATGACATTATTTTGGTCGGAGTTTAGTGTATAGTCTTTAATCACAGAATTTGTTTCAATGCTTTCAGGTTTGGCTGAATTGGCATTTGTTTGGTTCAACACATCCAACACATCCACTTCACTGCTAACTGTGACCATCGATTCACTACTTATGTTGACTGTCGTTATAACTGAAGAACTAGTGATCACTGGCGCTAATGTTTTGATCAACAGTGGATCTGATGTTGAATTTTCTTAGTTTCATAAAAAGAATCATCCTGATTATATTTAATTTTGTAAATTATAAAATATTTAAAATATAATGAATACCTGGATGAAAGAATATGGCTAATTGTCTATTGTATGACACGATTCCGGCGGTTAATACGAGACCAATGGTGACTACAAGTAGGGCCG